CTCAGGCCTTTGCACAGGCCACCCCCCTTGCCTGGAATGCACTATTTCCACTTTCCTAGCCCCTTGCTCTTTCCACAGCTCAGCTTAAGGACTAACTCCATATAGGAGGCTTTTCTTGATTCCCAAGCAGCTAATGCCGTCTCTCCTAAAATGTCTTTGTATGTATTTTCTATTTAATTTTCTACATAAATGCAGTTTCCCTCATAGTGTTTAAGCTCCTTAAAGGTAGGGACTCAACTTGGCACATAGTAGGTGCTTAATAAACGCCTACTGATCAAATGTATGCTAAGAAACCAATTAATACTAAGTTAATAGAACTCTAATGCCCAGAAAGGAGGTGACAGTTCCCCCATAAGCTGCCTTAGACGACATCTGTTGTATTGTGTTAATTTCACATATTTCAGTAAGGACGTTAGCATTTAAAATACCTTGAAAGAAGAGTAGGATGATGAGAAGATTTTTAAACCACTGAACAATTAAAGAAAACAGGGATACATATGTATGTGTGTGTATGTATATATGTGTGTGTATATATATACATACTACATATATAATATATAATATATATTATATAATATATATATGACGATAAGATACTTATCTTATAGTTGATCTTATATAAAATATGCAGGTTTTTTTTTAATAACACTTTTAGCCTTCATGTTACGTTTGGTAATTTAACAGAGAACCACTACTACTACTAACAAAAGCTAACACTTTATGTAGCACTTTAAAGCTTGGAGAGTGATTGACACACTTCCCACTCCCCCAAGTCCTCGTCTCTGTGGTCAGAAGACTCTGGGACTCAAAGGGTCTGGAGCTCTCAGCTTTCCAACTGAGGGCTGGCAACGCACTCAGAGAAGCAGTGGCTGGCAGCAGCATCTGCACGAGAAGCGAAGAGCAGACAGGTCCCCATGTGGAAGGTCTTCAGAACCCTAAAAGGAGCCCCACAGAAAGGCTCCACCCCAGCTAAGTGAGCATCTTGAGGACTCCTTCCAGAGGCTGGGAGAGATCCCTTTCCTCCATGTGCTCTTTGAGGGTGTCACAGACTTATGGGGAGGGAGACAGTTTGTACCAACTGTTCTTACCATGCCAGGTCCTCTCTAAAAGCTAATTAAATCTGAGGGGCTAATTGATAGCACTCATAAAGGGGGTGAGGACTCAAACCATAGCATCAGAAAGGCAACCCCTTCCTGACCCCTCAGGGCTAATCTCAGAATCTTAAGGGGAAACCTAAGAGCCATGCTCCGGGGACCTACTCCTCAGTGTGAGGGACAGCGGGGATAGTCGCCCCAGAACATGCATTTCATGGGAGAAGAGAAGACTTAGGAGATATTTTTGAAGAGGGAAGTACTATCATGGGGTAAAGAGATAAAACTTGTTCTCTGAGGCTCCAGAGGATAACGAGGAAGAAGGAACAGAAAGGCCAACTGATGTTTAATATAATCAAGATTTTTTTTTAATAATTAGGTGTCTAACAATGCGAAAGTCTCCTTTGTGAGGCTATGAGCTCCCTGTTACTGATGTCTTTCAAGCAGAGGCTGGATAAATACTTGTGAGGTTGTGCAGAGATTCATGCTACAAGCAAAAATTGACCTAACACCTAGATTCACTCCAACTTTAAGATTCCGATCATATAACATTTTTAATGGTGCCCCCATCGTAAAAAATTTTGATCACACACACACACGCACATATATGTGTATATATATATATATATATCCGGATTTGAACTTAGGTACTCCTGACTTCAGGGCTGGTGCTCTATCCACCATGCCACCTAGCTGCCCGAGTAATATATATATTTTTGGTTGGGCAATGGCGGTTAAGTGACTTGCCCAGGGTCACATAGCTAGTAAGTGTTATGTGTCTGAGGCTGGATCCTGAATCCAGGGCCGGTGCTCTATCCATTGTGCCACCTAGCTGCCCCCTCCTCCCGAGTAATATATTTTTAATAAAGAATGAGACACAACTAATGTTGAGTCATATTTCTGAGTATACAAACTATTCACAGTCCAATTCCAGCTTCTGGAAACTTTCTCTTTTTTTGGTCTGGACCTGTGATTTCATCATCATAGGGAACATCTGGCAAGGAAACTGCCTTTACCAGTGCAGAATGGCAAATATTGTACCACTCTGAGTCAGTCAATTGCCTAATGCACCACAGTGGTCTCCAAAAGAAGGACCTTGGCCTGATCCCCTGGGGACTGTGGTCAGACGTTTGCAGTGTCCCATTAAAAATGTCCCATGTTGTACCTTAGGTAGCTGCTTGTCCCCAGTGTCGGCCTTATACGGTTACATGTGGTTTCTGGGAGGGGACCACTGGTCATATGGTCCTGAATGTGCCTGATCTAGTCTGATTTCAGAAGCTGAGTCTGTACTCAGACGGAATGGCTGAGAATACCAGGTGCTATAGGCTTTGGGGCAGCTAGGGGGCACCATAGGGTACAGAGCACTGGACTAGCAAGAAATCCAGCCTCAGATACTTCCCAGCTTTGTGACCCCTGTCAAGGAGGTCACCTCTATTTGCCCCAGTTTCTTCATCTGTAAAATGGGGATAATAATAGCACCTCCCTCCCAGGGTTATTGGAGAATCCAATGAGATAATATCTGTCAAGGGCTTTGCAAACCTAAAGTGTTATATAAATGCTAGCTATTGTTCTTACTCTATGTCTCTTCTGAAGGTAGAGAAAGGTCCTGAAGTATCATCTGCCTCTCATGACAGCTAAACGAGGATCCCAGGAATGCGCCCTCTGCTAGAAGCTGCACCAGAGTGTGAAGCGGGCACTCTCACACCTCAGGCTCTCGTGGGGCATGTGCAGGGGACAGAAAGAACCATTGGACTGAGGGGGAGCCATTGTCTGAGACTGCGACCAAGCTAGCAGTGAGTATGTCTGGAACCAGCAAGGATGACAGAGCCCCTCTCAACTGGCAGTACCTGATGGTGTCTGTGCTTGGCTGTCCTGGCCTACGGGAACCCAGGCTCACCCATCAACTACCATGAAACCCTGGCCGGGGCCTTCTAAGGGTGGGGGGCAAAGGCTAGCAGAGGAAAATGACATGGTCATTTTAACCGATGACACACCCCAAAGCCAATACTCCACTTTTGCTTTTAGCTTCCTCCCCCTCAAAGTGCTGCTGGACATGGAAATACAAAACACTGACTGTGTACAGTGTGGCAGGCCTCTGGAAGGAGGGGCCAGGACTGGAGCTGCAGGGGGTGCTTCAGTCCCAGCATTCACTGCGGGGAGCAAGGGTGTGCATGATAGGGCAACTGAAAGAGCAATGCGGGATGACCAGTCAGGATCAGGCAAAGCCCAGCTGGCCACCAGCACCAAAGTAACAAGGCTCACTTCTGGAGCGCTATAAGGGCAACGTGGCCTAGGAAGGAGGACGGCCAAGGACCACTCTGGCCTTTCTCTGCCTCCTCAGTGAGTATAGCCTGCACTTATCACTTGTTCATTAAATAGTATTTCCATTTTATAGGTGAGGAAACCAAGGCCCATAGATAGAAAAGTGCTAAGAGTAAATAGGGCTATTCTCAGCAATCCAATGATCCAAGACCACTTTGAAGGACTTAGGATGAAAAATGCTAGCCAACTCCAAAGAAAAAACTGATGGAGTCTAAATGGAGATCGAAGCATGGTTTTTTTGGATTTTTTTGGTTGGGCAGTGGGGGTTAAGTGACTTGCCCAGGGTCACACAGCTAGAAAGTGTTATGTGTCTGAGGCCGGATTTGAACTCAGGTCCTCCTGAATCCAGGGCCGGTGCTCTATCCACTGCGCCACCTAGCTGCTCCAAAGTATGCTTTTTTAACTTAATTTATTATTTTTGGTCTACATTTTCTTTTGCAACATGGTTAATATGGAAATATTTTGCATGACTGCATATACATATATATATATATATATATATATAAAATCTATATCAAACTGCTTGCCTTCTCAAGGAGGTGGGAGGAAAGGGAGGGAGGGAGAGAGAATTTGGAACTCAAAATTTTAAAAAACAAATCTTAAAAATTTTACTCTACATGTAATTGAGAAAAAAAAAAATTTTAAAGTGTAAATAGGGAGTAATATGTAGATCAAAGCTGAATCTTCAAGACATAGGAAGCAATCACACAGAGGCCTTGGTCACCAGGGAGGAAGGAGGATGGAACAGCAACAGGGGAGATCAAAGTGGTGGATCAGGCCCGAAATGGTCAGGACCCAAGGAGGAAGCTGCAAGGCAGGAACCAGAGTTCCCAGCACAGATTATCCCTCAGGAAGGAAGAGTCCGGGACGGCAGCAGCAGATGCCCGGATAAGATTTCTCTGGAAATTCTGTCTCTTCTGCTAGAGGAATGGGCTGAACCTCCCTGTGCCACTGGCCGGTGCCTTCAGAGGCCGGGGAGACTCGGGGCAGCAATCCCAGCCCTCCCCCTCCCCCAAGTCCTCAGTTTCCCCATCTGTAAAATGAGGAGTCGGAGTCTAAGGTCCTTTCCAGCTCTAAGTCCAAATTTCCCTCAAGTGAAGGTGGTTTTTGCCTTGTTTCTTTCCCAGAGCACTCATCTGGCTCTGCCTTTTCCCCACCAAATGCTACTGCACATAGTACCAGTCTGTGGACATGCCCCACATCTAAGAATCTATGCTTGTGGAGGACAGGACTCTTTAGTATCCCTTGCACACGGTGGGCGCTTACAAAATGTTTCCAAATCTACTGCTGCCTCTGAGAGCTTAGAGCAGGGGCCAAGCACACAGTCAGGCCTCCCCAAAGCTTCGCTGAATCAGTGCATGAATCACCAACTGAGCTAACAGAACTGTGAGTTTCTCAAGGCTATTCAATGCGGACACTGAGCGTTTCCACCTTTATAAATGCCCAGACAAGGTATTTCAAGTCAAACAAATCAGACTCAATCCAGCCACCTTCTCCTTAGGGCATCTGCAGAGTTAAGGAAGTCATGTGCAGCAAAAAGTTAATAACCAACCATGGCACTGTGCTGTATGTGACACTGTTTCTTACCTGTCATTGCTCTTACAGATGCTCCCACAAGTCAGCTAGCTGATACGGATGGCAACCCTAGGAGAGAAGGGGACAAAAATCACAAGTCACACCACGCCGCCAGCTGCCCAAGTGTCCAGATGCTCTATGTGTGTGTGTGGAGGGGTGGTCTTCATACAACCACACAGTGTAGGCCTCATGTCTACATTCAGGGAAGATGCTTCAGCTTGTGTAGACACCAACACCTCCTACATCAACACCGGCACCTAGGAGGTGCTATTATTATCCCCATTTTACAGATGAAGAAACTGGGGCAAATAGAGGTGACCTCCTTGACAGGGGTCACAAAGCTGGGAAGTGTATGAGGCTGGATTTCTTGCTAGTCCAGGGCTCTGTACCCTATGGTGCCCCCTAGCTGCCCCAAATGCACAATTTGCTTCTCAGACAAACACCTCCCTGTGTGCATCCAAGTGAAAACCTCAATCAAACTAACAGGAGACATCAAATCCTCTGTCGGTTGACAATTCTCCTTTTGTTTCTAACTCCTTCAGGACTGCTTACCATATGACCGGATGGCAGCAATTCTCACTCTCCATCGGGGCATCAACATCCACCAACCCTGACGGTTCCCTCACACAAAAAGCTGCTGTCACAAGACCAAAAGATGGTGGATTTAAAGCTGGAAAGGACCCGACACCAGCAAGCCCAACGCTTCCCCACGCTGTCTTACAGATGAGGAGAGCAAGCCCAAGAGAAGTGGTTTGACAGCCCAAACCCCACCAGGTAGACGTGGCAGGTGCAGGATTTGAACTGCTCCTGCCATTGATTGTCCCACATTGCCTCTGGTCCATACTGGACACCCATGGACCTATTCCACCCATTCTAGCACTTCACACAATGCCTGGCACTCAGAAAACACTTAGCAACTGCCTTCTGAATGAACTCTTTGGGGGATGCAGGATACCCCAACGGATGGAAAAAAGATCACACCCAAGCCAACCCAGGATGCCCTAGTTACGCCTCGTCCTTCCTCGTCTCCACCATTCCCTTGTCCCAATGGCCGGCTTCCCCCTTGCTCTGGCCCCGATCAAACCTCCTATCCTCCAGGAAGCCCACCTCGCCTCCCCACCCCATAGCTCTCTTCCTCCCAGGACAGCCTGAGCAACGACTGTTTGCTACAATCCTCTGACACTCAGGAATTTGCTACTGTCTTATACTATTAACCATTTCTTCCCACATATACATTTCACCCCAACTACTCTTTTCACTGAGGGAAGCCCTGCAAAGAATGGGTACTCCCTAAGTGGTACACAACTGCATTAGCTACAAAGCTCAATCAATAAACATTTATTAAGCACCTACTGTATGCCAGGCACTGTGTTAAGCAGTGGAGATACAAAAAGAGACAGAAGACAGCTCCTGACCTCAAGGAGCTTACAATCTACTGAGGAAGACAACATGCAAACAAATACATACAAATCAAGCATTATACAGGATATATTGGAAATAAATACAGAGAGAAGGCACTAGAATTAAGAGTTGGGAAAGGCTTCCTGTAAAAGATGGGATTTTAGTTGGGACATATAGGAAGCCAGGGAGGTCAGTAGGTAGAGGAGGGAGAGCAGTCCAGGCATGAGAACAATCAGAGAAAATGCCTGGGGCCAAGAGATGGAGCGTTTTGTTCATGAGAAAGCCAGGAGACCAGTGTCACTGGATACAAGAGTATACCTTGGGGAATAAGGTATAAGGAGACTGGAAAGGCAGGAGGGGGCTAAGCTATGAAGGGCTTTGAATGACAGGCAGAGCATCTTGTATTTGTTCCTGGAGGCAACAAGGAGCCACTGGAGTGCAATGAGGGGGGTGTGTGTGTGCGTGGGTGTGTGTCCAGGGGTGACAGAGTCAGAGGACAGAAGGGGGTGTATTTGAGAGGTGCTGCAAAGGTGAGATCGACGGACCTTGGACACAGCTTGGATATGGGGGTAAGAGATAGTGAGGAGTCCAGGATGACTCCTAGGCTGGATCCTGAGGGGCTGGGATGGTGCTGCCCTCTCCAGTAATAAGGAAGTAAGAGGTGGAGGTTGTTTAGGGGGAAAGATAATGAGTTGAAAATGGATATTCAGTTTGAGAAGTTTGAAAGGCAGTTGGAGATCTGAGAGAAGTCAGCAGAGAGGGTGGGGCAGGATTAGGCAGATGTGAGAATCATCAGCACAAAGAGCTGATAGGATCACTAAGTGAAGTAGTGTGGAGGGAGAAGAAAGGGCCCAGGACAGAGCCCTGAGTAACACCCACAGTTAGAGGGCATGTCCTGGATGAAGATCCAGCAAAGGAGACAGAGAAGGGGTGGTCAGAGAGATAGGAGGAGAACCAGGAGAGAGGTGTGTTCCAAAAGCCTAGAGACAAGAAAGTATCAAGGAGGAGAGAGTGATCAACAATGTCTAAGTCTGCAGACAGGTCAAGGAGAATGAGGATTGAGAAAATCCTCAATAGCTCAAATACAGTTTTCTTTAAGTATGGAATTCAATTTAAAAGGTTAAGCCCTGCCTTTCTGACACAATTATTATGACATGCAGTTGGACAGGTATCCTTGTACCTCTATCTTAGACAGGTACCAAAGACTGGGGTGCCCCTCGACATTTCTGAACCAGATTAAAAATTGGGAAATATTCAACCAAATAAATAAAAATACGATATAAGACAGATGATGTTAATATGTGGTTTTCTAAGTCACATGCAGCCTACAAAGATCCTTATGTACAGTTTAATGACCCTATTTCTATTCACAGCTACAGGTAGACAATGAACTGAGCCCTGGAAGGAAGAGCTCAGGCCAGGCTGGGCACAGGGTTTTCAATGAGTCTATGCTGTTCACTGTTGCAAATACTGGTGTTAAATACATGGCATTTCTCCCAGGGATGCTACATGACGGTGCATCATGGATCACTGTGATCTCAGAATTCAAAACAAATTATCCCAAGAGCAAGGGGCAGCTAGGTGGTGCAGTGGATAGAGTGTTAGGCTTGGAGTCAGGAAGACTCATCCTCTTGAGTTCAAATCTGGCCTCAGACGCTTACTAGCTGTGCGACCCTGGACAAGTCACTTCACCCTGTTTGCCTCAGTTTCCTCATCTGTAAAATGAGCTGGAGAGGGAAATGGCAAACCATACCAGTATCTTTGCCAAGAAAACCTCTAACAGGTCAGGAAGAGTTAAGACACAACTGCACAACAACAAAGTGTATACTGGCCACAGTATATCACAAATGATAGCTTGAGCAAGAAAAGACATATATGACCTGAAAAGGACGAAGGCCAGTCCTGAACTGACACCAGGGCTACAGAAGGGGCTGCCTCAGAGCTGTGCTGGTCGCCAGGAAATGTGAGAGCCAGGGAGGGAAGGGCTCTGGGGCACTGCGTGGATCTTGAAGCTAAGATTTCTGGAAACGCACAGCCAAGAGTCACACAAAGTACTCATCCTGTTGAGATCCTGGATCCACTATTGTCATACAATCAATTTAACTGGTAACAGGATTTCATCATGTACAACACTCACTGAATGGATTTACTGACAGAATGGACCACTGGTGAAGAAAATAGCAACAACAGTAATAATGATGATAATAATAATGACAGTTAACATTTATATAGTGCTTACCATGTGCCAGGCACTGTGCTAAAAGCTGGGGATACAAAACAAGGCAAAAGTCTGTTCCTGCCTTCAAGGAGCTTCCAGTCTAACAGGGGAGACAACATACAAACAACTATGTGCAAACAAGATTTAGACCAGTAGTCTCACAGGGAAGGTGCTAGAACTGGGGGGATGAGGAAAGGCTTCTTGTAGAAGGAGGGGACTTAGCAGGAGTTGAAGGAAATCAGGAAGGTGAGGAGGGAGAGCATTCCAGGCATGGAAGACAGCCAGAGGAAACACCAGGAGCTGACAAATAGAGGGTCGTGCACAAGGAAAGATAGTTTAAAAAAAGAAATAAGCAGGGAATGCTTCCATTTCTTTAAATGTGGCTTGTTCTGGAACAGTCCATTCATACCCACAAAACTACCTGTATGTTACTGTACATAATAATAAGCAAATCTCCCACTTCCATATCCCTTTACCATATCAGAGTGCTTTCCTACAATGATCTTTTGAGGAAGTTAGTCATACGTTTTTCACCTCCATTTTACAGATGAGAAAACTGAAACCTTACAAGATGCTACCAAAAGAAACAGAGTGGTCAGAATGACAACCAAATTCTTCAGGAGAAGACGATGACTTCAAGTTTGTTGTCTTAGACAACATCAAAGTTAGACAAAATCAAGTACCTTATAACACATAGATAATCCTCATTTAGTTTTTCTTGTTTATCTTAAAGTTATAACTTACTATTTAAAATCAGAATTAGAAACCTAATTTTCTCATGCATACTCATTAATCAAGACTTTCTTATTTTTTGGTCATCAACAATAAATTGACAAATATTTATTGAATAACTCCTACAAACCAGGCATTGTGAAAGGTCCAATGGAAGATACAAACAAACAAAAAAGACAAGAACTGTAACCAGGATATGCAACTAGAACTTTGTCTCCAAGTGCCAAAGTTTAGAGGGTGCTAACAGCACGTGTACTTCAGCAGGCAGAAAAAAAGTAAATATAGCACCTAGTTAGCAATAATAATAGCTAACAATAATAACAAACATTTATGGAGAGTTTTAAGGTTTGTAAAACTCGTTAGAAATATCTCACTTTATGATCACAACTGTGGGAGGTAAAGACTATTATTCCCAATTTATAGATGCTGAAACTAAGACAGACAGAGTCTAGGGTCACACACCTAATACATATCTGAGGCTACATTTGAACTCCGTATCCAATGTTCTGTCCACCCAGCTGCCTCTTCTTACCAGGGGGTGCTTAGAAGCTGCGCGCACGCGCGCACACACACACACACACACACACCCTTGTCTCACTGCATTTTAAACTGGATGTAAATACAATTCAACCACCTACTACTGGCCTATCTCTGTTCCTCCAACGAGATAATCTACTTCCTACCTCCATGTCTTTGTACGTCCTTTCTTCCATGCCTGAAATGTGTTCTTTCCCAACCCACACCTCTCAGAATCCTTTACTTCCTTCAAGGCTCAGCTCATGGGCCATCACTTACAAAAATCCTTTCCTGATCCCTTCCAACTCTTAATAAAGAAAAACGTTTTTGTACTTACTTAGCATCTACCAATCAACACATATGATATACCACCCCGTATGACATATCACCTCAGTAATAAATGTTTGGTGATGGGACCTGTCAGTGTTGAAAGTGCTATAGAAAACGGGTGCACTAATGCATAATTAGTGGAGCTGTAAATTGGTACAATCATTCTGGAAAGCAAATTTGGAATTATTCAGAATGTTCATGCCCTTCTTTGACCCAGAGACTCCACTGCTAGGCATGTGGCCTAAGGATGTCAATGACCAAAAAAAAAAAAAAAAAGGCTCCATATACACCAGAATATTTATAGCAGCATTTTTTTTTTTGTGGGAGCAAAGAATTAGAAACAAAGTAGACACCCACCTACTGGTGAATGGCTAAACAAAATGCAGTATATGAATATAATGGAATTTTATAGTATTGTGAGAAACAACGAATAATGAACACAGAAAAGCATGGAAGGACATATGAACTGATTCAAAGTAAAGTAAGCAGAACCAAGAAAAATATACACAACAGTAACAACCAAATAAATGAAAATCAATGTCACAAAATTATAAAGCCCAAGCTTAGCTGCAAACAAAGAAAGGTCAGAAGAGAGATCAAAGTATTGTTAAGCACTTTGTGCCAAGGTCTGAGGATACAAAGACAAGCAAGATAGTCTCTGCCCTCAAAGAGCTTACATTCTAATGAGGGAAAGATAGTTTCTTCACCACTTCATTACACACTTGACGGACCATGGGTATGAAACACTGAATATGTTGGATTTTTTTTTTTGCTATGGTGGTTAGTTTAACAATTTTTTCTCCTTTATTTCTCTTTTTCTCCTTTATTATAAGAAAGAGCTCTCTGGGAGAGGGCTTTGGGAAGGATAAGTGGGAAGTAGAAGTGATATAAAAACAAACAATATCAATAAAAACTTGTTTTTTTTTTAATTAAAAAAAGTTTGGTGAACCGAATTCAACCTTTATCTGTTAAACTTTTGGGTTCCGCAACAATCTTCTTCTTTCTACACGTGTGCAATCTAGTCCCCAAATCATCCAGTGTTTGCAATACTGGTAACCAGCATGATTTAAAGCTAAAGGGATCTTACAACTAGTTCAACCCTTTCATCTTCATAGATGAGAAAACTGAGGCCTCAAGAAAAGCAGTCACCTCCTCCATTGTGGGAGTCACAGCCAGGGATTTAAGAGGCAAAGTAACGGTTCTCACACCTCAGCATGCTGCTGGCGAAGCATCTTCCCAAGCCATGCTCCACAAAGGATCCCCAATGGCTGCTCAGCCTAACTCACTGCTTTGTGGAAGTGCTGAATCTAACAGCAAAGCCAGAATCGGTACTGAAGATTCTCAGCTCATCACAGACACTTAGGAAGTACAATTAATACAGGTATGGTTGTGTGGTACCTAGGCCTCAATGCTAATAATGATAACAACTCACATCTTCAGGGCACTTGAAGGTTTGCAAAGTGTTTTCCCCACAACAACCCTGTGAGGTAGGTAGTGCAAATACTTTTATCTCTATTTTACAGATGAGAAAATTAAATGTCTTAGAAATGATCCAAATTCATTTCTCTTATTTTTATTTTGATATTTCAAGGTTTGTTTTCCATAATTTAATAAAAAAGATAATCAAAGTTATCATAAAAAGTCACATCCAGAATTTCTGAGATTTAAAAACAAAGTAATGGTTCTTCCACTTCATCATGCTGCTAGAGACCCTCCATCCCAGTCACATACCAAACAAGGGCTCCCACTTTGAAATGCTATGCAGTAGAAGCTCCATCCAGACAGCCATAGACTCAATTTGCATGATCACAAGAAGGGCATGCAACAAATCATTTTCCAGGTGAAATTACTCAGTAAGTAGTCTAACAAATTCATAAATGTAACATGAGAAGTGATATTCTGAATCTTTACCAAATTTTTGTCTTTAGTGACAAACAGCTAGATCATAAAAAAAGGGGGGGCAAGAGAAGCGCCTATGTGGGACCACCTAAGGATAGCTAGCACTGGTGAAGAGAAATGGAAAATCTCTTGGCTATCTGGGAGAGATGGGGATAGTAATAGGCTGTATTATGACGAAAAGAGAAGGAACTAGCAAAGAAAAAAAATGAATGCTATTTGGAAGACTGGCTGTCTTCCTGGCTATCTTTGACTAAGGAACAACACTGGTCCTCCAAGATGCCTCTGAACACCTCAAAACGATGATTGAGGTCCTGTCTGGTGTGAATCTTATATTTGGTGCCCAGGGCCCCATCAGGTGATGCTATCCCATAGAAGACCCTTTGAATCCGGGAATGTACCAGAGCCATGGCACACATTACACATGGCTCACTTGTGATATAAAGCTCATAGCCAGTACAGATATAGGGCAACCCATCATCTCTGGACTCGAATTTTCGTACTGTTCCAGCTCGGATAGCTTTTGAGGCTGATGGGTCTCTGTTCCCCAATGGTGAGACAGTACAAGCAGGATAAGACTTAAAATTATACGTGCCCCTCCCCTGTCCTTGGGCAATAAGGTCTATGCAAACCATTGTGGCATGTAACAATGGATTTGAGGTGCTTCTACAATCGTGGCCTACAGCAAGAACGGTTTCTGTGGCTGGATCAACAACTACAGCTCCGATAGCCTTCATCCCCTTTTCTGATCCTTGCTGGGCTGCCCAGATGGCTTGTTTCATGTAAGTCTGCATCTTCACCTTTTCTTCTTCTGAAAAGAGGTGCCCCGTGAGGGCACTAGTGACATATTTGTCTTCATGAAAGGCTGTCGGCCAATGGAATTTGGCTTCCTCAAACTGCATCCTGGTCAAAGGGGGATGGGCAGGTACATGAACAAGGAATGGTTCCCCTAGGCCACAGCAGTCTACTTGTTTATTGGGCAGGAGTTCTGAAAGTGTATGCAAGCCTTCTGCCTTCTCTTTCCCAGGTTTTGCTAAACAAATCAACATTTCCAATGGGTGAGGACTGGCCTTATCTGTGCATGCTCGGACCCTTTTGAGATGCTGTTGGCCCTCTAGTGGGTACACAGCTGAAATCTCCTTCACCAAGCGAGAAGTCTTTTTCTTGTCTAGGATAGGTACTGCATAGGCCAAGACTAATTCAACTCCTTGAGAGTGTTGATCTGAAAGTACTGGGAAGATTTGCCAAGAAATTGTTTTGTGTTCCATTACCGAACCATTCTCTTCACCATGCTCCCCTGGGCACAGGACACGGTCCATCTTCTTCACCAAGATAGTAGGCCGCAAAGACTATGACTGTAGGAGACAGAGATTGGAGGAGAGCAACATCTGTCAATCGGAGAGAGACAGCAGGTAGGCCTAAGTAAAGCCATAGTTACATGGACAGACAGTGCTGCAAAGTAGATAGAGTACTGGACATGAAATCAGGAAGACCTGGGTTCAAATCCCACCTCTGACACTAATTATGTAAAAGGGACCATGGGCAAGTCAATTCACCTCTCCGAGTCTGTTTCCTCATCTGTAAAATGGGGATGGCAATATCCATAGTACCCTAGGATACTAGGAAGCTCAACTGAGGAAATGTAGGCAAAGTACTCTGCAATCATTAAGCACTACACACACACACACACACACACACACACACACACACACACACACACA